GATTAGCTGTTACCTCAGACTCAAGTAAGGTCAGGCAATCCAGAGATTAGATAGTTCAGGGTGACGTGTTGTAAGAGCAGCTCACTGGGTCTATTTTGATCAGGGAAGGGGAAAGTAGCTCATTTAGACGCTCAGCCTGGAATATCAGTTCAAGTTATGCTTTAATCAGCTGTTGCAAGTCACCAAGTATGATTAGTTTGAGCAGTATTGATAGAATAATGCACTTTTTGTAAGGTTTGTATAAAACTAGCTTTTTCAGACAATAAATATCCCCCACAGTGGTCTTAAATGTATGTTTTAGGTTTCTTCTGGATGACTGCCCTGTTTTGTTTTGACACTGATCGAAAGCAGCCGAGACTTTTCACTGGACCACTGCTTTACAGAGCCGCTAGCTAGAAATCTTGGAAATGGTTTTGCAGACTTTCAAAATCTGACAGCCGGCTTATGAATCTGCGGGTAGCAACAACCAGGCTGTAGGTTGTACACAGAAACACAATAAACATATCCCTGATAGTGAGAACAGGCGAGAAGATCATTGGAGCCTCTCGTCCCTCCATCACAGACACCGATCACACCCGCTGCATCCGGAAAGCCACCAGCGTCGTAGAGGACCCCACACACCCCTCACACACACTCTTCACCCTGCTGCCAAGAGATACTGGAGCATTCGGGCCAGACTGTGAAAGTTTCTTTCCCCCAAGCCGTCAGACTCCTGAACACTCAGTTCACACACACGTCACTACCAAGCACTTATCTGCACAATCTCAAACACACACTTTCATACATTAAGCTACTTTTTGCACAATGCTCAGTCTTTTGCACTGCCATTGTTGCACTTTTCTATTGCACTGTTGCGTCTGCATCGCTCTATCTGGTGTTGCACTTTGTTTTGTTTTTTTGCACACTTGCACTTTATGTAGTCTTGTGTTGATTTTCTGTGACATGTAGCAACATGATCTTGGAGGAACGCTGTCTCGCTTCACTGTGTACTGTACCACTGCACACGGTTGACAATAAAGCCACATGACTTGGTGCAAGTGAATCTTTATTTATTATTAGCCACCAGAGGGAGACATTATTCAACATTTCCATATGCCTGTTCCCCATGACAAACGTGAGCATGTCCAGAAATGTCACAAATAAAGCGCAGCATCGCAAACACACAGTCAGATGTAAGAAGCAAAGCTGACTGAACGTCAGGCCCGAGCTTAGAAAAGGTTAGAATTTCAATTTTTTAACGTCTAAACGTTATTTCCAGTGTTCAGCTGCAGCGTGTTTCATCAGACGGTGGCACTGTAAGCTAACTACCTGTGGTCACCAACAAATGTTTCAAGTCAAATCAAAATAATTCATCAAAAAGAAGCATACTGAATCAGTGTGGATGAACCCAGCAGCCTCAGACGCTTCTTTGGTTAAAGGTTGTAAAAGTCAGTGTCACACAACAATCAAATTTGGTTAAAGATTTGCTTCAGTGGCAGTTAGATTTTTTCTGAGTTGAAAAACAAACAAACAGTGAAACACCTTCCTGTTTTTCTTTTTATTTCTTTTTAGTTTCTAACGACATAATCACCACACAGATCAATACTAAGTGATCTTTAAAGCCACGTGTTGACACCTTAACTTGAAGACAATGCAGTGTTTTAGGATTTTACAGTCAACAAAAGTAAAATGTGTTTTGTGAAATTAGTAAAAAAAAAAAAGTGTTTTATGTAGAAAATTCTTAGTCTTACTCGTCAAAAGTACATCTGAGCACAGTTAAATTATAAAATCAAACCTTGTGATAAACACCCTCCCGTTCGCTGGCTGTGTAAACAAACCCAACACAAGCTCGCTCTGAATAAAAAACAGATACGTTTCTGTGGAGTCCACAGACGTAGATGTGACGCGGCGGGTGAGATGTGGGAAATGGGTAAATTCAGTACCAGCGCCTGACAGCGCTTCAGTGTTTCCAGTGTGTCCTGACACAGACAGACAGGCTCTGCATGCTGGTGCATTCAGGTGACGAGGTGGCCGAGTGGTTAAGGCGATGGACTGCTAATCCATTGTGCTCTGCACGCGTGGGTTCGAATCCCATCCTCGTCGAGCGGAGTTTTGGTTTTGTGGTGCTTTAAACATACTG